ATGCATTCACGTTGATAACTACAGTTAGACACTTTAGCCAAGTGAAACTATTATCAACATATGCCTCTATGGGAGAAATAGAGTGGTGGTTAAGGTGTTGATTGGGAAGCTCCATTCTCAGCCACAAAAACTCACTGAATAACTTAGGGCCAATTACTTTCTTTCAGCCCAATTTACTTCACAAGGCAGATTCGTAAAAAGAGGATTTCGGGGCACGTGTTTTAGTTTATTTGTAAATGAATCAGAGGAGAAAGTGGTATAAATGGCACTTGAGTTAATGGGAAATGATGGGACCTACACTAGCAGATAAATAAATGAGTTCATGTTAATTCTGTTCAACGATGGAGAGTCTATGCACTGTTCACAACATCCTTTGTTTCACTGGACTTTTCTATAGAAGAAATGGATCCATGACAATCGATCACTTAATACTTTAATTGATTAATTATTGTGGATTAATAAATTGACTGAATGATTAGTTGAAATTCAATCAATCCGGGGTTCTTTTCCTCTTTGATGTAAAAATTATTGTGTTCCCATGCTCTATCATTTCTTTCTGTTCCCCGTTTAATGAATAAATTTCTCTTTGAAAAATTGTTTATTTTCAGAAGCCCACCGTTAGTGAAAAACATACCCACCAGTTTAGGCTATGGAGCAGCACTTAATGCAAGCTTACAGGTAAATCATTAAACCATTCATTTCTTTTATATGCCCTTCTGCTTGCATTGTTTCTTGTATGAAAGATAACTGTCTATGTTAATGTTAGTTGGGCATTTAGGGCATTATAAATAGATAGGTTAATCTCCCAAAGAAGTTGTATTACCTAGCACAGCAAGAAGTACCTGTTCTAATTCTCTTCATTTTGATGTAAAGAAGCAAGAAGGACACCCTGTGGCAAAATCTGGAACACTCTGTTTTATTTCAAATACTAGATTGATAGAAGCTTTTGCAAATGCATGTGAATATGCATTAATATTTATCCAGGCTGTCAAGAATGATTTCATAACATAGTGTTAGAGAGTATGGTGCTCATAGCAAAAACTTTAAAGTTTAATTGTAAAATATAATTTTCATGCAGAAAAGGCAAATGTCAGAACTCTTTTCTTTTGAGTTAAGTTCTGGTCATTTTTAAAATATATATATACAGGCTGGCAACAGAAACAAAATGTACACTATATGTTAGGACATAAGATTTAAGATTAGTGCATTTTAGAGTCAGAGTTTGAAGGCAGAAGACATGGTATATATTGGTGTCAGAACATATTTAGTAATTCCATCCAGCAGTGCTGTGTGTGTGTGTGTGTGTGTGTGTGCGTGTATGTGTGTGTGTGTGTGTGTGTATTGTCAGATACAGAAAAAAACAGAACACTTTTTTTCTCTAGACATTTGTTTACTTGTATGTACCTCAGTATGTATTAAGCATCCTAAGAATGCTATATCATCTCCACACTGCTAGGCTGCACTGGCAGAAAGTAGTTTACCTTTGCTTGGTAATCCCGGATTAATAAATAACACATCCAGTGGCTTACTACAAGCAGTCCATGAAGATCTCAACGGTTCCTTGGAGCACATTGACAGCAATGGAAATAGCAGTCCAGGCTGTTCTCCACAACCTCACATGTAAGTACTGCTAGCATCTTCCAGTATAGAAAAAAAAAATCAGAAAGTACTGCCTTGCTTAATAATTTATCCAGAACAGGTAAGAATGTTCAGAAACTGGCCTACGGGATAAGCCAGTGCTTCCCAAACCTCATTAAATTACCCCAAATTGGGTAAAAGTGGTTTTTCTTTGCATAATTACACATGAATCCTTTACCAGCACAACAAAGATATTTAAATTGACTTAAAGATTGCCACCTGTAAAATACATTTGAAAATCTCCCAAGTTATTCCTTTTAAGATGAAAACAGGTGAAAGTACCAATGGTAATTTGTTGAAATGACATAAAGTTCATTCAATGATATGGATTTTATTATACATATAGTCCTCGAGTTACAACCATTTGTTCAGCGATCATTTGAAGTTACAACAGTTCTGAAGAAAAGAATTACTCAAAGTTCAATAAGATTTTCTGATAAGCAGTTTTATGTAATGAAAGAAAAGGTTTGGTAAGTACTGGAATTGGTGCTTCCATGCATGCTTAAGATTTCCCTTGGGCAAATGCTTCTTATTCATTGCATGATACTACCACTTCATTTTTTCAAACATGGATTCTTTTCCTAAGTTAAATCTGTAAATTAGCAAAAGAACTCCAATCAGAAATACTTTAATTGCATTTTCAGGTCTGTAATACATGTATGGATTGTTACAGAAATACTATTCTTTTAAAAAACAAAAACATACAATGGAAAGTTTAACCAATACCCCAAGTTTACATAGAAACTAATAAAGTGCAAGTCTTTTACCATCTTATAACTCAGAAAAATCACTGTAATTACATATTCAACTTTAATTACTGGTGTGACAGTATTGGCAAGGTTTGTATGTTAAATTTTATGCAAGACTACAATTCCTATTAATATTTAGGAGCTAACTATATCATTAATTACTCTAAAATCTTTCCCCACCATCTTTTTAATGGAGCTCAGAGAGTGGTACTATTAAAAATTAATGTATCATGGATTTCAGGAATGTGTATTAAAGCCTAATAAATGTCTTTCCTTAATCACCAGTGTCAAAAGTAGCAGTATCTTGTTTAGTAAATAGCAAAACACAGACCTTGGGGGTATTGATTTCCTGGTAATTTATATATTAATTAGTGCTATGATATCTAACTAGACATAGATATACATTTGCTATAGGTTTATTTATTTTTAAATATGCAATTATGTCCATAGTTACCAATAACAATAATATTGTATTTAAAATGTACTTCAATTCTTTTTATTATTTCTTTTATATATAGCATACTATATTCAACATTTATTATATGTGTAATGTTGAAATAATAATTGCAAGCCGCTATATTCCCTATATTTTCAAGGTGTATATTTTAATTTGCCTTTAAAGATTTTAAGTTTTATATTTTGTTTCCTGATTTGTCTTTTTGTATAAGTAAATACATTAATTTAACAGATATATTTTACACTTTTAAGATGATCTATCTCATTCATTACCACATATATTGTATCATCTTGGACAAATAAATAAAATTAGTGTGCACAAAGAATGAGAGAGAATGTTAATATGCTTTATTGAATTCCAAACCACTAATTCCACCCGTCTCCGTGGAAGAATTTGTGTTTTGGATGTATACAAATATATTTAATTATATTTAATAATACCAAAGAAAGAGCCTGAGTGGCGTAGGAGGCTAATGCCTCCTACTAAGGCAGCATTTAACATCCAGCTGCCTGCAATTACTGCGAGTTCAATTCTCACCAGGCTCAAGGTTGACTCAGCCTTTCATCCTTTCTAAGGTGGGTAAAATGAGGACCCGGTTTGTGGGGGCAATAAGCTGACTTTGTATAAAACATACAAAAGTATGAAGGCTATTGCTTAACGCATTGTAAGCCGCCCTGAGTCTCTGGAGAAGGGCGGCATATAAAAATGAATAAATATAAATAAATAAATAAAACTTGAAGTAGAAAAAACATGACTACAAGTTCTTGAGAACAGCTGTGCTATGAAACAGGTAAAGTGAGCCACCAGAGCAAAGTTGTTATATTTTGTGATGTATACAATCAACCATGCAATCAGTAGTTTGAAGCCTATTACTTTTAGTAATTCTCTGAGTGTATTAATGCTCTCTTTCTTCCTAAAATACCAAGAAAATAAAAATGTAATTAGCAAACAGGACTTAAATCATTTGCCTAGTTATTTCACATACAATGAAGCACATCTATTTATGTTTTCATTTTTTTCTATATAATATTGAGTAAGCATAAATATGTACAAGGTGGCTAGAATGCAATACTGCAGGCTACTTCTGCTGACTGCCGGCTGCCAGCAGTTCAGCAATTTGATTCTTGCTGGCTCAAGGTTGACTCAGCCTTCCATCCTTCTGAGATCGGTAAAATGAGGACCAGGTTTGTTGGGGGCAACAACAACAGAGTCCGCTGACTCTGTAAACCACTTAGAGAGGGCTGCATACCAAGAGCATATGCACCAAGACAAATTCCTTGTGTGTCCAATCACACTTGGCCAATAAAGAATTCTATTCTATTCTATTCTATTCTATTCTATTCTATTCTATTCTATTCTATTCTATTCTATTCTATTCTAAAGCACTATGAAGCAGTATATAAGTCTGAGTGCTATTGCTCTTGCTACCACATATGCCATGTGCAATACACAGTTCTATAAGTTATGCAGAAAACTTTTTCCATATTACAGAATTTGAGAGTATGTTTAAGGCTGTAAATAATGCCATTAATTTCCATTCTAGAACTAAACTACTATACAGAAAGAACCAAGTAAACTAAGCATTCAGTGTGGTAGGGAGAGAAGCTATCCAGTATGAACATCTGTCTGACTGTGTGACAAACCATAATAATAACTCTACATGTGAGTTATTTTGGAGTCAGGCAGTCTTAAATATAATTAAATATAAAAAATAATTGGGAATAAATTTTATTCTACAAAACCATTTTATTTGTATTGGGGTTCAAGCCAATTTTCTAATTGCAGTTAAAGCTATTATTAGCCACTCACACAGCATGTACTCAGATAAAATAAGACTGACTTAGAATATAACTTTTGTCATGTATGCATGACTTTGTATTCCTTTCAGAATTTTTTATAAGATAGCAAAATATAAGGAATTAAGATTCACATGGTATTCTATAGGAATACCATGTGAATCTGAATTCTTTATATCTTGGTAGTTTACAAAAAAAAAACAAACCCTAAACCTATAGTTTGCAAAGTTTTCTGGTCTCTTGTGCATTGAATCTAGTTGGATTCATATTCACCTTTAGTTCTTTGGTCTGTACTCATAACAACAGCAGTGAATGAGGAGGCAGTTTCTCTATGAGTTAGTATGTTAGCTAAAGATGTCATCTCTTGAATTCTTGAGTTGTGCTCTCCACTTATATATACTTGCCTTTTTCCTCTATGTACTTAGCCACAATTTTTGTTCCTCTCACAAAAAAAATGTTTTAATTTTGTTCTAAAAAATTGAAATAATTGTATGCTTACTGCTTGAGGGTATTGTGTGAGCTGATGTCTATGTGGTGAAAAATGTGGACAAACTAAAAAATACTTACTAAAGGAACATTACTTACATTGAATTCCAAAATCTTCAAATAAATATTTGTCTAGTTCTATGTTGCCAACTTTCCATTTCTCTCTGGAGAAACTGAGGTTTAAACTGATTGCTAAATGAAGGTGCTTTTCTTTGGGCCTTTCCCATAATCCTTGTGCAATGCTCATCTAGAATTATCTTGTACATTAGCCAAATGACAAGTCCTTCTCACACTTTCACCTTTTACGTGGTTGTTGTGGCTCCGTTACCTGAGCCTGTGTCATTGGCAGGACAGGACTCCGAGAGTGAAGGAGAGGAGTTGGCAAGGTCTCCCTCTCCAGGACCCTCCTCTCTGGCAATGCCTTCGGTGTCCGCCGAAGGGCAAGAGATAGGGCCAGGGCCAAGCACGTCCACGCAGCCACAGATGGACAGTGATGAGGGTAATGAGTCTTGGCTGGATCCACGCCAGCGTCGCAGAGATAAGCGCGTGCAACAGAAGAAAAGGCGTGCCCGAGATTAGGCTGAGTCACTGGACCACACCCCACAGGATATAAAAGAGAGTGTGGTGGCCAGTCAAACCTTGTGATGAACAAAGCTGAAAGCTTCCACGCCATTCTGCATTGCCGGACTTTTTGCTATAGACTTTGCTGGATTATCTCTGGACTTGATTGACTCCGTAATTATTGAGCTGTTTCTTTTGATGTACCAGGAGTGGGGAGAAGTTATCTCTCCTCTTCGTAAATAATAAACTCTTGGCAGGCAGCCACTAAGTTGTTGCCAAGTTCTGTTATCATAAGGAAAAGGATTTTGCCGGCTGGTTTGGTCTTTAACTCTTGAACGTCTGTTGGTGTGTATGGGGACAGAACAGTGGCTTTCATGTTATTTAGATATTCTGTAAACTAAAACAGTATGTAGAACAATCTGTCATAGATATATTATTCATTCACCAAAGACAGAAGAGAGTTGGTAAAAGGTTGTTCCAGACTGTGTTTTAGCACACAGTGGTTTGATCACTATTTTCTTAACTCCCGGGGCACTGACCCAGAAAACAATAGTGAACTATTTTCTGAAAGTATTCCTCATTGCCATGTATCACTCAGTGCCATATAGAATACTTATATTCTGCTTTATTTTAGCTTCAATGTCTTGTGACAGCTGTTTTTGCATGTTTGCTACAGAAAAGGAAACTGGGAGTTGATAAAATGTGTGGGAAAAGAAAGATGGAAAATAAACTGAAAAGATGTGAATTCAAACAGTCATTCCTCTTCTATTTCTACTCTAGGCAAGAAAGATCTTGCTTTGCATACTTTCAATCATTTTTCCACCTTTTGTATTCAGCCATTTTTCTCAACCTGTACCTTCTTTACAATTCCAACTTTTGAATCCATCCTTTTTTCTTACAATTTGATCAGCATAAACATCAGGCTTTTTATGT